TCACTAATTGGAGGCTAGACATAGCTCTACTGATTCCTTTAGCTGGCCTAAGCCACAAATGGTCTATTCTTATTTTTCAGGAGTCAAACTAGGGTTGTATCTAAGGCAGGCAAAGATTTTGACTTAGTACTCATAAGTGGCAGCAAATTGGTTGGAAGAGCGGAAAAGGGAAGAAAGAATTGTACAAGATCAGAAGCAACGAGTTAATTGAACTTCTTATTCTACTTAAAAGCCTATATATTAAAACATGGAAGTGTACATCAAATTTAGCTCCTCTAATATGTGCCCAAAATATAATAATATTTAAAGCTTATTCACTGAAATAATATTGAAAGCTTATTCCCTGAAAAAGAAGTCAAAAATTAAATTTGACTCACCATATCATCTTTGTTGGAAATCAATTTTGAGACATGTTTTTCTTCCTCTTTTATCATCAATTTCTCATACAAATCGCTGACAATAAATGAAGGGTAATATCTATCCTTTAAGGTCTCATATACATCTCCCTGGATTTTGTAGAACACCTCAATACCTTTATTTCCTACAAGACATTGCTGGATTTCTTTGTAAAGTGATTTTTCTACAGATATGTCTTTGCTTTCCACAAAGAAATTCTGATAAATTTCACCAACTAATTGTGGAATTTCATTCTGAAAAGACAAGAGTTGAAGAAGAAGAAGGGTAAGTAATATCATCTCTGAGAGAAATTACTTTCCACTGAATTGTTTGCATTTTAAGGCTGGAAGGAAGATATTTGGGATGTATCCTGATACTGTTACCATTGCAGAGCTTAGACTTCTGTGTCCATGTTCAGAGTTAAGGGATAAGTGTTAGGCCCTGAAAAAATTACTGGTTTCTTAAAATAAGCACCTTATGTCAAACAATTAACATCTGTAATTTCTTTTAAAAGCCAGAAATGGAGGAAACACAAGAATTAGAAATTCTTTTTCTGCAATGGATAGCTTTCCATAAATCTCAATTCCATAGGGATACAAATTATTGATGAAAATTCATCTGACTTTTTATCAAAATGAATACTTGTAAGTCCTCACCCACTAATATAAGTAATTTTTATCCCAGAAATATATCAATATCATAGTTGTACATTTTGAAAAAAGAAGACAGATATTCTTCAAAATGTTAATGCAGCATAATTACATTGTCATCAACCTTATATTGATCAGCTTAGTCTTACACAGTACACTTGGGCCACCACTGGCCTAGTTCAGAAATGCCAACATCTCTTTTGATTGACATAATATTTACACTTCTTCTAGAGATACTTTATTAACTCTAGGAATGGTATGTAAAGTTCTCAACAGTAGTGAAAATAAAATACATATAGTAATGAGCTGCTAGGTGAAAATGTGGCTATTTTGAGGAAACTGTATGCTCTTATTTCTTGAGAATTTTGAAAACATAGTCAGTTGTTTAAGAAAACTCTTTAGATTGTTCTTTACTGTATTCTTTTGAGAGGAGCTAAAGGTTTTGATTAAAAAAAGCAATGAAGTTGCCAAATACAATAATGGGTAAAATGAGGTAATTTGTGGTTTGTAACTTAACAATGAGAAATATTCCTAAGACAAAAATTTAAAAATACTGTAAGTCTGTATTTAGTTCCTTAACCAAGGCAGTTTGTGATTTATAATGTATTTTAAATTAGCATTCTGTTCTAGCAAAATTCATAAGCAAATGAGCAATTCAATACACAAGAATGCTCTCTGTGCTTCTATTAATAAACCTCTGGAAATGTTATACACTGATATTTCATGTATATAAACATATTGCTATGTATGTATGTAGACATATGCATACATATACACTAAAAATGTATAGACATTTATTCTTTCTCTTTTTTTGAGATAGGGTCTTGCTATGTTGCCCAGGCTGGCCTCAATTACTAAAGCTATTCTCCCACCTCAGCCTCCTGAGTAGCCAGGACTATATCCCCTTGCCCAGCTAATTTTTATTATCTATTCAGAACCTGCAAGTACAAAGAACACTGTTTAACCATTGGCTTCTTCATTGACAGAGGCATACATAACCACAAATGTACTTTATGTTTGTTTATTCAATCAAATTTTAAATGAAATTAAAGAAGAGTTGTGAAAAAATACATATTATAAAGTGAAGAATAAAAATGAACAAAAAGGAAAAATGAGTATTATGCTATAATAAATGGCAAGGTTATGAGACTGAGGTGAACAAGACCAAATTTATTAAATAGCAATTTAATCTCTTAGGACACTTATGAATCTCTTTTCCCCATGACTACACATTCCAAAATATAATTTTATTTGTCAAAACAGGCTGAGATATAATGACATTATATTTAGTTTAAAATATTCTTTTAATGTATACTTACAGCTGTGTTGAGAAAAGAGACAACATGCCTAACATGCAATTTTCATCAGCTAGGAATTAAAAATCCCTTGAGCCTATATATACTACCTTGTTTGCACTCTTTAAATGTTCCACAGACTCCCAAAAACTAATCAGAGCTCTTTTGTCTATCCTTTCCATGTATAATCGAAAGTGCTCTCGGTACAAAGGATTGGTCAAGATCTCTTCAAACTGAAGAATCTATAATAGAAATTTAAGAAAAATATTTTTAAAATCAAATTTTAAATGCCAGTTTGCTTTAACTTCGAACAGATTAACTTCTACATTTAGGGAAGAATGCACTTTTAAGGTCATAGCCAACGTAAACTGAAATATCTCATCTACCATCTTCCTAAATTTTAAAAGGAATAAAACTTTCTGAATATTCAAAATGCATATATTCAAGAGATACAATTTTCTATTAATCATTCACTCACTCAACAAAGATTTACTTGACATCTACTTGGTATCAGGTACAGTTCTAGAAACAGATAAAAATCCCTACAGAAAGTATATTCTATGCCTAAAACTCAATAGTTGCCAGTGATAGAAAAAATTGAAGAGAATGTATAAAAAGACCAAAAAGCTGGAGTCTAAAGGTTTAGAATTTTGTTTTCCATCATATTTTTATACAGCTGAGGAATACACAAGTGATTTTATATACTGACTTTTTGTTTACAATACCACACTCATTAAAAAATCTTTTGTAAGCATCATTTTAATTGGTCCCTAAAATTCCATTGTTGAATATACCAAACTCAATTCTACTACTCCTTTGTTTACTATTCTGTATATTCGCAGAAACAGAAAAAGGAATCTACCTGAAGACACGGAAAGAACAACCTTGAATATGGATGGCTCTAATGTGAGAAAACAGATGACCTCCATAACAATGTATAAAACTCAATTAGGTGAAATGATTAATTTAGCCATAACCTTAGCCTGAATTAGTGGTAAAAATTTATATCTAATAAGTGGAACTCAAAAATTTTAAGTTAAGTAAAAACTCATATATTGAGATTCTTAAAATTAACATCATGGCAGTTGGCAAATTTCTCAACTATTACCAGTAAGATATTTCTAAAGTCAATGTACATTCAACTCTTCTATCCAACAATGAGCCCTTGCTTAATATGCTTTTCGGGTAGAAAGAGAAAGGCATTTTCTAACAACTTCTGGTACCTAACTAAAGGAGATGGCCATTCATTTTGTACAGACCATTAGTAATCAGTTTCCATATATATTTCAAGGCATTAGTATTTAGTCAGTTTACTAATTTTGTGACATCACAACAGATATCTTCACTTTGTGTAAATCCTACCAGTAGAGAATTCTGAAGCACAAATTCTAACTCTACTATAAAGAGGCTTAAAGTAACTCACATCAACTTTAGCTACAGAAGAGAGAAGATGGGGTTAACAACTCCAGCAACAGATGAAGCCAGGGGACCTTTTTAGACTCAAATACAGAGTCCTAGACTACATTCAGTATTATTCGTTTTGGACTGGACTTGGATGAAATGAATAAACTGATGTGAAAGTTGGCTTTTCTTTAGAAAAGGTTAGATATGTATTGTCACTAATTTCTAAACCCCAAATATTTTCTACTCTCTCTACTAGATTACTTTCATTTTGTTTTATAATTACTTTGGACTTTTTTATTAATTTACTTATTTTTTGGTACCAGGGATTGAATTCTGGGGCACTCAACCACTGAGCCACATCCCCAGCCCTGTTTTGTGTTTTATTTAGAGATAGGGTCTCACTGAGTTGCTTAGAGCCCTGCTTTTGCTGTAGCTGGCTTTGAACTTGCAATCCTCCTGTCTCAGCCTCCCCAGCTGCTAGGTTTACAGGCATGTGCCCCCACACCCGGCCTACTTTAGCCTCTTTGAGAACAGGGATTCTATCTTACTCATTTTGTATCCTAGTATTTAGCACTATTCCTGAGAGACTGTGGGCCTTCATTAATGTTAATTAAATGAATGGATTAATGAAGAATGAATAGGACATAAATTAAGACTTCATCTATGACAAATGGGGCTAGATATTTATTTAGGAGACCAAAAGCTGAGGGAAAGAAAGAAGAAGGAGAATATTCAGCCTACCAAATTACTCTTACATTCACCAAAATGTGAAGTTTTCACTTTGGATCAAAATCCAAAATCTCAGAAAGTTTCCATTGCCAATAGCAAAATTAACAGATCTCTCATAGGCAGGGCACTCCTCTATAAAACAAGGGTCCCTTGGAGCTGCACTTGTGCCATGTGTGTAAGATACTGCAGAATTCTGGGACAGAAACCTGCCTGAACAGGCTCCAATGGAGACTAGTCCAGGAACAAGTGAAAAAGTACAAAGCACATCACTAGAATAGGGATGCAGGGGAATGTGACAGACAAGTAAGTATCTGATCCAAGTCGAAGAAGAGCAAGAAAGATCAAGAAATCAGAACAGGTGAAGGTTAGAAGCTTATAGATGCTGGCTTCTTTGTGACTAAACAATAGCTTACAAAAAAGGATCTTGGCATTTGCCTTTCAGTCCCGGTCTCAGATGGTACAGCCAAACTCCTCAGGGTATACTGACGGTTTCCTTCCATCCCAGCATGCTCCAGGTCTTGTAAGACAAACTTGGTCCTTTAGAGTTAGGATAAGACACTAAAGTAGGGCTACATCATGTTCCTAGGCTCTGTGATTTAAAGACTTGGTAGCAACACAATCCAGAGTTTTGTAATACAAAAAGTCATTGGCATTATGGTTTAGAGAGAAAGCACTTAAGACTTGTGAATCAATCACATCTGTGTTTTTAATCTAATTCTGCCTCATTCTATCTATGTGTTCTTAGGTATGTTACTTAAATATAGCATTTTATTTTTTTGAAAATGAAGATATCGAGTACAAATTTCATAGCATGTGGCAAGGAGTAAGCAAAATAATGCTTAAGATGCTTTCTACTTCACAGGTGGTTATTTCAACCAACTGAGTGAGCGACTTGATTGGAAACCTACAAATAAAAACATGCTTCTCTGAAACTGGGGGAAAACAAGGGGAAAAGATGCAATGGCACATATGCACACATGCACACCCTTGCCATGCCTACCTTCTACTGTTGATAGAAGTCAAGGACACCAAGTAACAGGGTTCTTTTACTCATAAAAACAAGTATGTGAGTCTGTAATTATGGAACACGTCTTAAGTGAAATACTAAAAAGCTAAAAGACTATATATGTGGTTACATCATTGTTTATAATAAAATTATAAGGTCAAAGTAAGAAACTAAAAAGTTCTACCTTCTGGTTTTGAGGCCCTTCCCCCTCATCCAAGGCCCCATCCTCTTGCTGGTCATAGGCAGGACCTCCCAGAATTCTGATCCTCTTTTCACACTGCTTCTTTGCCACAGTCAGTTGGTTAATGTACCTTTTCATATTCCTGGCCCTCAGGAGATCAGCTTTCATTGCAGCAGATTCCTTACCTTGAATATAAGTGATGAATAGAACCCAGTCAGAGGACAAGGTATAAAAGAGGGAACACAACAACTCTATATTTTGAAAAATAGCAAAATTAAGTAATAGAATAGATTCATGATAAATACATCTATATTCCCAAATAACAGTAGTTTCTGAATATATCACTGACAAATTTACCCAAATGTAAAAATTTTTTATTAGACCTCTGTATGTAAAAGTTCACAAATCACTGTATGTATATTTAATATCTTGATATGGATGTGTATACATACATATTCATTTGTAGGTCTGTATTGAATGCTGTATCTGTTAGGCACTGTTTTGGCTTTTGAGATTCAGGACCAATTGTTGGACCACATAGAGTTTATGAAGGAAGAAAACCAAAGATGATACAAGCAATTAAAAGTATAATGTGGGTTATAAAAAGATGAGCAGATACCACTGAACTGTTTAAAAGAGAATTCTAACCCAGTTTTCCTTAAAGAAATCACATTCAAACATGAATATGAATACAGTGTGGCAGTCAAGAAGAACAGCAAGGGTTAAATGAGAACCCTAAAGAGAAAAAAACTTCAAGACCCTATTGTATAGCAGATGCAAAAGGGAAGGGAGATCCAAAATGAACTGGAAATAGGTACAAGCCAGAAGATGCAAATATTTTGGGGCCAGAGAAAGAACTTTATTCGTTAGCCCCAAAGTGAAGCTTTTAGTGGATTTTCAGCAGGGATATGCCATGAATGGATTTATATTTTAAAAGATAACAAAGGAAGCAGGAGGAAAAAAGAGAAAGTTCTAGTTGGGAAACCATTGTAGCAAAACTGCAGAGGGACAAAGTGATGGCCTAAATTAGGTTCATGCCAGTGGCAGCAGAAAGGTCTGGAAATTTTGAGAATGACAGATCCAGTGATCCACTGGACAGGTAGAAGATAGGTTCCGGAGGAATGAAAAGAAAGGAGGTAAAGAGGTGTTAGTTATGGCTTCTAGGTTTCTAACATAAGCAGTCACGCTGGTGGTGGAGCCAATTATGGATCTGGGAACAATGGAGAAAAATCAGGCATGTAGAAAATTATTAATTCAACTTTGGACAATGTGATAGAGACTTCCCAAAGATAGCTACAATATCTTCGGTCTCACTTTCTTTTTACAATGTCATTTCTGATAATCTCCCTCTAAGAAGGAGAATATGTTTCCTTTCTTGAATTTGAATGGGCTTATGATTACGGCAGAAGCGATACTGTAAATTCCAAGACTAGTTTGTCTAAAGCTACTGATTTGGAGCTGTGAGCCACCATGAACATCATCCACCTGCCCCAAGGCTTCCAAACAGAAGAAAACTGAACAATCAGATAATGGAGAGATTTACATGGAGAGGAACCAAGGCTTCCTAGATCATAGCTCTGGTCAAGACCTTGGCCAAAATCCTGCACTCACTTGGTATCATGTGGAGTACACTACCTGGAAAGCAAATTGTCTTAATCCAGTTGATGCCATGTGAAGCACAGAAGTCATTCTTCCCAGCCTCTGCCCAAGTGCAGATGCATGAGCAAGATAAATGACTGCTGTTTAAGAAACTGTATTTTAGGGTGGTGTATTATACAACAAATGATAACTAGAACAGGAAAAATTGGGTTGAGGGCTTTTGATCTATCTAATAGGTCTAGAGTTCACAATTGTTCAGCTCTTCGATGGTTACTGACATCTTGGGAGTAGGTTAAACAACCCAGGAAGAAACAAAATGATCCCAGGATATAATCTAAATAAACCGTACATTCAGTGGCAAAAGAGAAGACAAGCTGAAAAGCCAGGTTACATGTACATCTGTGTAAAAGAAGGCACTTTATCTGTTTATACACTGCTGTATCTCCAGCACTTATAACAGTGCCAAAAGTGCCAATAGTTCCCAATAGGAACTCAAATAAAACAGTTGCTGAGTGGATGAATGAAATATGTCAAATTTTACTGAGAGGCCAATAACAATATAGCTAACATTTTGCTGAGTACTTACTATGTATCAGGCATTGTGCTCTTTCTAGAACTGTGGCTGTGAAGAAGAGAAACAGGGTAAAGTATTTATTTAATTTTTTTGTACTAGGGAATGGACCCAGGGGTGATTTACCACTGAGTTACATCCCCGGCTCTTTTTTTATTTTGAGACAGGGTCTCACTAAGTTGCTTAGGGCCTTGAACTTGCAATCCGCCTGCCTCAGCCTCCCAAGTTGCTGGGATTACAGGCATGTGCCACCATCCTGGGCTCAGGGTGAAGAATTCTTAACTCCTATTTTTTAAACTAATCTCATATGGCTCCTCTATCCCCCACCCACTGACAATATATTTTTGCTAAGATCACCAGTGACCTCACGCCAAATCCAGTGGAAAAATTTCAGTATGATTGGCAATTAGAGTTAAGAGTCAAATTCTGACTCTGTTATTTACAAGTTATGTGGCCTTGTGCAAGAATTTTTAAAAACTTAACTTAAAAACAACTATGTGGTTTTCTTCCTTAGGTTAATATTATATAACTTAAACAAAACAGAACAACCCTACAAAATTAAATAACTAATTATACTGAGTGTGAACACTGGGGCACTTTACAACTAATTTACATCCCCACCCTTTTTATGTTTTATTTTGAGACAGGGTCTTGCTAAACTGCCAAACCTGGTCTCACACTTGCTAGAAGCTAGGATTACAAGTGTGTACCACCATACCCAGCCTCTACAAAATTAATTTTAAATGACTGAACATTGAGTCTTACCTTATGGGGAATGGACCGCCTTTGCAAGTACGACCTGAAGGCTGGGTTGGGGTAAAGGAAAGTATTTTTTGTTTGTTTAAAGTGGGAGACAAGTGAGCTGGTTTTAATGCTAATGAGAAGGAACCAGTTGAAAGTAAAAAGGGGCCATAGATAGGGAATGGAATCTAGAAATTAGATTAGCTTTTGAAAAGTGCCACCTTATCCATGATAGTAACGTGGAGGCAGACCAAATCTATGTAAGATACAAGAAATTTGGAGACGGGTGGCTGTAAGCTGAAACAGTTCCTTTTGCAAGGATTTTGTTTTCTCCAAGTGAGTGAGGTTATCTTCATAGAGTGAGGTGGGTGAAAGGGTGAGGGATGGGAGAGCAGAAGAGCATGCCTACCTCAGAAACTCAGTGAGATTGTTAGTAATGTTTAGGGCCTAAAAAAAACCCCACTAGATAAATATAAATATCCTCCTTAGATATGGTAACTACCTATGTAGGCAGTCCAGATCAGGCTCTCTGGAGATGAGTCATAATATATATATACTTGGAGATTTGGAGCTACTAATAATAAAAGACAAAGTTCTGCATTGAATTTCTTGGTTTCCCTCAGAGTGCAATCCAAAATGTTTTTACACTGGAGACCTCAAATTCTGAGGATGATCATGACCTCTCTCATATCCCACTTAGTAGTCACTATTTTCCAATGCACAAAATAGGACCTCCTCAAGTTTAGCAGTCATTAGAAAAACTTAAACATCATAAAACATGTTTATCTGTCAGAAGCAGCTTTTCCAGTACTTATCACAAAGGATCACAGACAGACTTCAGGTCAATAGATTATGGCATTCAAGATGATCTTTCAGATATTATGGAATTTTTCCATATGTGTGCAAGGGAGGTATTTTCATTGGACTACAATAATGGTTTCTGAACTTGTCCTATGTTTGGCTATTTCCTATGTTGAGATAAACTCAGCATTTATCTCAACATAGGAAAATTACTATTTCAGAGTCCCCTTTATGTGAGGATAAAGGTAAATATAGTTGGCTCCAAACTAGTCTATTGCAAGCTAAGATGCTTTGTGGATATACCTAAAGAAATGTATGTTTAGAGGATGCATTTTCAGAAAAATATTTACTTTTTAAACCTATAGTTAAACTTTAAATTTTATGCCACATTTAGAGTACCCTGAAATTCAGGGGCAAATGTTGCCTTTCAGAAAACAAACCTAAAACTTAATCTTAATTTGGGGTTAAAACATGCTAATACAAAGAGAGCCGTGTCTAGGAGGAAAATGGCACACATTTATCAACTACCACATTCTTTTTCTCCCTCGAAAGCTTGAAAGCCATTCTAAAGAACAAAAACTAGAAGCAAATTCCAAAGAGAAGGAAGAATGAAAGAGAATAAACCTTCTCTTAAAACCCAGCTGCAAGGCTGAGAAGAATATTCTCGTGTTCGGCTTCAACGTAGCCTGATCACGTGAATGCTCTCTGTTTGTTAAAGGGTGATACAAAGCCATTGTCTGATCACAAAGCTTGTTGCTAACAAATGCAGTAGCAGCTTGTTGCTTAGACACTTCTGTTTATTTTTGCCTCAGAAAACTAATGCTACGATCAGAGCTAAAGTGACTAACATGGAGCTCATGCAGCCCATGCTTCTGGCGTGCAAAAATCCTTGTAAATCCAGCAACACGGATGAATACGCTCCTTTGTGGCCCTGAAACCATTCATCCAAGAAATATTCATGTCAAGAAAAGTATAGGCAAGCGGGTGTGCGACAACATGCTGTGACCCAGCTCAAGCCAGATTCATATGGCTGTTTCTGTGCAGTCTAAAGTAGTAACGCTGTGCATTGTTAAAAGTGGGCTAATCACACAACATTTAATCTAGCTTAGAAAAAGAAGGCAAAGATGACAAACAGTGGCCAGTGAAGTACCGGATGGCAGCTCTTTAAATTGGTGCCAAGATGAAATCAAGTGATACAATATTCTAAAGCAATTAATTAAATAGTTTTACTTTTCCCCCTCCTAGATAGTCTAGATTCTATTGAGAACACAGCAAAAACAAATGGGTTAATGTGCTGAAAAAGACAATTATATTAGACATTAGGTGAACTGTTCTGGCCATGACACTACATCAGACTTATGAACAACATCTTAGAAATGCTTTTTGCTATAAATCTTCTGCCTATGAAGATTTATGGTTCTTTGTTAAGTAAGTGAAGTGCCTTGAATAAAATACCAAAGGACAACTGTTAGGTGCTATTTCTCATGAGGCAAGAGAGTAAAGTAACTTACAGTACAAACTGATGACTCTATTAACAACATGATTATAACTGGATGAAAAGGGCACCTCTACATTTTTCAGGTATAAAAAAAGTCAAGAGAAAATTATTCTTCTGTCATAGTATTCCCAAGCATATTAATAATAGCATTCTCAGCAGATTGAAGAGTTTAAAAGAGAACTCACCGCAGGGTTTCTCAATCTTGTGGGTATTTGAGGCCCGGTAATTATTGTGGAGGGCTGTACTGTATACTGAAGAATATTAAGGAGCATCCCTGGCCTCCACCACTAGATGCCAGTAGCATCCCTTCTCCCAGAGATGACCACCCAAAATGACTCCAGACACTGTTAAATGGGAGCAAAACTCACCCCAACCCCTACCAGGTCCCAGCAAGAAATACTAATAGAGAGCACAACTTCTGTGACCACACAGAGGACAAGGCTGCATATGCCTCCCCTACCCCTGACTACTCAACACAGGTCCTCTTTCCTTCTCTGCAGAATCCACACATTTTCTCACAGTCCCCAGGCAATCAAGGAAAGGAACAGGGACTTCCTCAATAAGAAATGCTGGGCTACATTCCTTAACCCATATGCATTCTAACAGACCAAACAGCCTTTGAATCTTCTTGTACATTTAAGTAGAAGTTTTACCAAATCCTCTTGATGGAAGATTTATTAGTCAGCTTTTTGTCACTATGACCAAAATAACCAACAAGAACAACTTAGAGAAGTTCATTTTGGGTTCACAGTTTCAGAGATTTAGTTCATGATGGGCTGACTCCATTGCTGTAGGGCCAAGGTGAGGCAAAAGAACATCATGGTGGAAGGGTGGGGTGAAGGAATGTAACTCCATTCATGGCATTCAGGAAGCAGGGAGAGAAAGAAAAGGGATGGGGCCACAGGGACTATGCACCCTTCTAGGGCATACCTCCAGTGACCCATCTCAAGCCATGCCCCAGCTGTCTATATTTACCACCCAGACAGTCTATTCAAACTAGGATGGATGAACTAATTTCATAATCTAATCATTTTATCTTTAATACAGGAGTTCTAGAGAGACACCCCATAACAGGTATGTGTTCTCAAAGGGATTTAGTCAAGTTTCAAAATGAGTTAATGGTACTTGATTTCCTAACAGGAAGCTGGCAACAATTCTCAATAGTTTTACTGTAACAAACTTCTTCAAAATTATCTGAAAATCATCTCAAAACTCCCCAGAAACTCAAAAAATATTGACCTTGCTTTTCAATTTGAGGCTAGTATGTGCTTTAAAAAAAGGTGGGGGGGGGATACCTTATTACATCAAATACCTGGAATTCCAGTCTAAAGTGTCACTCTACTCTATGGAGAGCATACTTGAGAAATAAGCAGAAATCATCAGGAGTTGATGGTGGAACCTCTCACTTGACAGGGGAAAAGACTACAGAGACCTCACAGATCTTGAGTGGTCTAGTCAGAGTACGCCTGCAGCCTGCCTTCTACTTCCTTCCTCTGATGTCTCAAGTGCTGGGACTTCTCACATTTCCTTTGGTTTAAGGCCCTGAAATACATTTACATTTAACAGGTAATTATATCATATCAATTAAATTCACACATTACATTCAGAACCCCTTATTCAAATTAGTACTGTGAGGTGAATGGATTTGATAGACACCCTTGAAACACAGATCGGATCTATATCATTTTTAAGTGTTGGGCGTGACTCTCATAACATCTACCCATGGAAATGAGTAGTGCAGTGGAAAGAGTCCAGGACTTTAACTCAGGAGACCTGAGTTAAAGTTCTGAATTAGGTGTGTGACTAACTAGTTCTATGTTCGAAGGAGGTAAATTGTTTAACATATCTGGACTTGATCTTTGTTTTATAAAATGTAGGTGCTAGAAAATGTGAGGATTATAGTTTTCTAGGGGGAGAGAGTAGGAGTAGAGTTGACTATAAAAAAATCATAGACTATAATGAATGTAATGGAAGTACCTGAGCCCTTAGTGTTTTAAGGAAGAGGGGAGCT